GGTTGTTGTTTTTCTTTGCTCGAAACAACAGCTGTTATTATGATGCAACTACATTCGTATTTTATTTCTTCACAACAATTCCAGTTTATCCGAGTTGATATAATTTCAACCAGTCTTTCTACACCCGAAAATTCAATATGCATATATGACGTGGATTATTCTCAGTACAGTAGTACGTTATCATTATCCACTACACCACCGCCGTCGTATGAAGTGGCTCTAACAGATCCGCCCCCACCTCTGCCACCGTGTGACTGTTAAACGTATGGACGAGAAACACGCACGAATGGAAGATTATGGAGAGAGATGATGACAGAAATTTAGAGTAAAAATAATTTAAATAGGGCAGCGCCCAGATTGTTCAATATTAATAATACTTTCGATCATATTCATAATAACAGCCATTAATATAATAAGCATACCAACACAATCACTACTGCATTTGAAACTAATTTATTTAAAATAAAGTATTGATTACTTCTATTAAATGAGGAAGTTTGTCACCAAATTGACTATTGATTTTACATATCCATACAAAACACGAAATTCTGTCTCGTAATAGAAAAGTGATTTGTGACGACTGATAACGAATACACATAGTAATGTGATATGCGGTTTGTATAATAAATGTATAATCAAGACGATAATAACAACCACCATTGAAAAATTAGTAGCTTCTTTGTCGGTAAATCTCTGTCTATTTATCCATGCTTCTTTATACTTTTATCTAATAAATGTGGTATTCTGATGCGCACTATTGACTTTCAGAACTATTAATCCGATCGCGACACAACCAGAAAAAGTTTCGGATTGTTTGTTTACGGAAAACTATCACGTTTGTCTAATAATTATGTCGATTCAAAAAACTAACATATACATTGTTTCCGTGATCAAACAATGTTGTGATTTTTAAACGACTATCTACCGTATTTCGAGTCGCTTTACACGTATTATTAACTTTGGCTTTCACTAATATTTTTACAGACAAGCCAGCGACCGCATCTGCATTTGATGGATTAGGAAGTTCTGTAGGAGGTAAGATTAATCTTTATTTAATATAATAATGATTAACTTTATTGGAGTAATTAATTGATAGATTGGAAAATGGTTTTCGATAATCTAAACTGCTCCACTTTACATCTACTGCCTTGACGTGTGGATACTTCCACTTATTTTATATCCATAAATCACAGTATCTTAATTTCATAATTATAGCATATTAATTGTCTGCGGAGTTTTTTGTTCATCTTCTACAATCCATTAAATACTCGAATGTCCTCTAAATGCATTCACAAATCTCTCTCTACTTTGGGATCAAAACTTATATGCTTGGCGAGTAGCTTTAATGTATTAGTATTAGGGACGCCCGATTGAAATACGCGTAATATCCCAGACCAACAGCCAACAACTATTAAACAATTTGGCAGATAGCTTTGACGTATAGACGCCATGGAAGAGAGCACTGCCTACTGACACGACTAGCAGATGACTACAAGTGATGGTAGAAAGACCGAGGTACAGTTTACTGACAAAGGGAGTTCACAGTCAAGATTTTCCGGTGTTCTTAGTAAAGTCGTCAGGTTTAACTAAAAGTAGGGGAAGCCACAGCTCCGTTTGAAAATAGCAAGGCCAACGATATTGCTCTCCCGCGATTCTTGACTCGACACGATGCAAGGTCCCCAGTGCAACGAATCTTAACCACTTAACCCACTTTCGTAAACGTTTTTCGGAACACCGTACGTAACGTGTCTGGCGGGAGATGTGTTGAATGTACGGACCTTTGCTGCGGGCAAATCCAAACGTTGAGTATAATGTGCCGAGTGTACTATTATCATAGAAGTTGTATAAATCCTCTTGCCACCGTTATTTCTATTCAGCATAGGTGTTATTGTCAGTGTAGTGAACGAGGTTGAGGCATTATCTATAAATAAATTTCAGACATCCGATGATGCGGTTTATTTATGACGAAAAGTTGCAAAATCATGACATTTTTTAAACGGTGTAAAAGAAATTGAATATGTTGTACCTCAGTTGGGGACCTGTCTCGGTTCTGGACTGAGTGACTGGGTTCCGAACTGAGACAGGTCCCAAACTCAGACACAACAAATATACGCTATTTTAACTATGCCGAACCTTGAATTTGAATCAAAATGGCAATTCGTGGTCACTCAGCTACTTGTAGAGTATCTGTTTGATGCTGATAAAGAACGTAACATGTAACTCGCAGTTCTCTCTTTTACGTTTTTTCCCACTAATCTAATGCTTCAAGACAACAAATAAAGTGACACATGTGGCACTCAAAAAATGGTTGGCAAACAAAACAATCCATTATTTGATTTTCATCAGGTAAATTAAGCTATGCGATTGATAAGTGCATATTGTGTGTCTATTGTTGTAACAATTTACTCAAACAGTCAACCAAGAAATATTAGCACCAGATAATATTTGGACAACATACAGGGAATAGATTTATACGAAAGAATACACTTGTAAAGTACATCCAGTATACTAAATTTGATAAAATTAAGAAAGTTGGATCTGGAGGGTTTGCAACTGTCTATATACTGCCGGATATAAAGGCGAGTTAGAAAGCATACGACAGAAACTGTTGTTTAAGAGTTTTAATAAAACGCCAGAATTATTTATTTCCGAGGTAAGTAATCTTTGATATACTTAGCAACGCGATATTTAATCTGACCCTATTCATTTTATTTAATAGTTCAGAAATCATGCCAAGCGTGCCATTGATTTCATTCCTTGAAATTTACGGAGTCACACAAGACCCAGAAACATGATTGTTATGCAATATGCTAACAACAAATTGACGTGCAGAAGGCATGAAGATCACAACCTGCATACTAATACGCAGATCATACGCAATATATTATGCAAACACCCTAATTTCATCCTCCACGATGACAAAGACGATGACGCGACAGAAAAAGAGTTCCAATTAAGTGAATCATACATATGCGATCTTGGTCTCTCACGATCGGTGAATTCTCGTGAGTCAACCATTTGAGGTTTATTGCACCAGAAGTTTTTCATGCCGGCAAATTTACTCAGAAACCAGTTTTGGCATCATTATATATTTGATTGCTACTGGTGAACCACCTTTTAGAGATAGGCAGTTCGATAGAGATTTAGTATGCAACATTATGGGCGAACTACGACCATAGATGCCTGATTCCGCACCAGAGGAATACAAGAAACTTGCCGAACGGTATCGTGATTCTGATCCTGATAAGCATCTCCAGATGCACAGGGAACGAGAGTAATTCTGACCGCAATGCATGGCTTACTATTTATCATAACAACGTAAAACCTTTATCACGTCTCGAAAAGAGAGTAAGTACTCTAATAATCTCTTACCTACGGAGAATTATCTAAACCAAGAAATAGCTATGATTTGCAAGTATGGTTACATGTTGATATAAATAAAGTTAATCTACGATATTAACACCGTCCATTTCTTATCATTTAGAGACTCGAATTCTTTTTTGAACAAGCTTGTAATTAACGGGTTATTACGAGTTTTATTCAAACGTTTACTCCCCTTCCAATTATACGATGTGCTTACGCGTATATCAATATGGTTGAGTTAACAGGATGCCGAAATAAAATCGTGCATGTTTACTGTTAGCTGCCTTTGCCGGGGTAGATTATTTTAATATGCAAGAAAATATAGAGTACATTATTTATTACAAATAAATATTGAGACCAAGTTTATAATGAGTTTTATACCAATCGTTCCTGAATAAAATGTATAACTGAGTTCGAGCTCCGGTGATATTTCCAAATGACCCATGCAGGGCCAATAAGGCAAGATTTTCTTGGATAAATGTTGTTTAAAGCAGGTCCCACACTTGCTCAAAATCATCCGATTGAAGAATATCCTGTAAGAACCAAAAATTTAGTTCATTATCAATGGTATTACGCGAGTGATGAATCATCATCCACTTCATCCATTCGTATCCCTCGGAGATCTATCGCCACTCTTTTCATGATATTGCTGCATAGCCTTGATGAAGTTTAATGAACACAAATAACCCTAATTAATTTGAATCAAATAATAAAGCATTAATTGCCAACATAAAGCTCCTAATATAACCAAGTACTACTACACTATCAATAATTTTTGCTAATCGATTAGTAAACCACCTTTTTTCAAAGATTTCTATTGTCCATACGTTCTATGTAAATTACAATTCATTTTGAAGCCAATTCATTGTACTTTTTGAAAATAATATTAGTTATTGTCACGAAAGAAGTAGTGCGATGAAGTGGCAGTATCTATATTTACACATACATGTATGTTAAATAAATACTGCAACTGCGGCTTTGAGACGATGACAGAACTTGAATATATCAGTAATAAGTGGGGAGAATAATTAGGTTCTTCATAGAATCGATATATAGAAGTTAGATGCGTTTTATTAAATCAAACTATTTCGCAAACATAAAGTAAACACTTACCATATCCAGAATAATAAATACTAATATAGCATATTGCATAAATTAATTGTCTACACT